TCATAACATTAACAGTTAAATGTCTGTCCTAAATGAGGCTAAATCATTAAATGTTTGTAGCACTGTGTACCCTTTTTTTTTTTTTTTTTTTCTGTTGACTACACATTTTACCTGCTTGGTGAGGGTTACAGGTCGACTATTTTCCTAATTTACTCTTTGTCCTCTTTTATTCTGTGTCATATTTTTTCTGAATCTGAACAGAAATGTTGTGCATGGGAGTGACAGCATAGACAACGGGGAAAGAGAAATAGGTGAGGAGGCATTTTATGATTTTTGTATTTTAGTAATTTTACTTTCTTGTTTTCTTTTTTACTTCTTTTTTTTCCCCTTCCTGATCTGTGTCTGATCCATTTCTTTTTTGTTTCTCCTTTTTCTTCAATTCCTCGCCACCTCCTCTCCACCTTCGTCCTTCCCCCTTCAACTGTCATTCTTTCCCTTCTTTCCCTTTTTTTTTTCTTTTCTTATTTTTCCTATTTTCCTTATTTTCCCTTTGTTTTCTTTTTTTTTTTTCCTTTTTTCTTTTTTTTTTAATCCTTTTTTCTGGTGTGACACTGGGGATGCCATTACTATATGTATCCTTCTGCAGGGTAATTGGCATGAAGGCCAATCCTGTAATCAATTCGAATGTCTTGTTTTGTAATTAAAATAAATAGTAAATTCGAATGTCTTGTTTTGTAATTAAAATAAATCATAAATAAATTAAAATAAATAATAAATAAAAATGGTGCTCTTGACAGCTAGGCAGGCGTATATACTTATATTTGGATGTTGTGTGTCCTTGCGATTGCTGTTCTACTTGCTTTCTTTCTTTCCCAGGGGCCATTTGGTAATTTAGCCTTCTCTGTATCGTTCCAATTTTGACGGATGTCCAGAAGGACTTCCTCCTCCCCCTCTCCCTCGTCAGTTACTTAGGGAGTTTTTATTTTTTTGGGCGGTTCGATTTCGTCTAATTATATGTTATGATCCTGGTGTTCGCACAACGCTAACCTTCTCCGTATCGTTCCAATTTCAACGGATGTCCAGGAATCCCCTCCCTCCTCCCTCTCTCCCTCTTCAATTGCACAGTGATGTTTTCTTCTTTTGGTCAATTTTGTCTTTGTGTTATGATCCTGGTCTTGTCTCAATGCAAAATATTCACAAAGAGACAGTGCCATGCAATTGCTACTGAAATGAAAAGAGATCGGTATGAGAGTAAGACAAGGGAGGCAGAAGCTTAAAGAAGAAGAAGAAAGAAAACAAAGGAGAAGAAGAATTGGATCGTACGTCCATGAGGCAATCCCAAGAATCAAACACGCGACCTCCCACATGGGAATTGCATGCTCAACCTAAGGGCTATATATATATATATATATATATATATATATATATAGACGATATATATATATACTACGACTTCGCTAGCTTCCTGCTACGGTTTTTCCCGGTCAGGTCGAGCGGCAGTGGTCGGGGCCGTTACTAGGCGGCCATGCTGTGCCTCTAGTGCCAGCGGCGTGTCTGGAGTGTATTTTTTGGCTGTG